GACATGGAAGCAGCCCAAATGCCCAAAAGTGGATGACTGGATTAAAAAGATGTGGCACATATACACAATGGAATATTACTCAGCAACCAAAAAAAAGAAACACATGCCTTTTGCAGCAACATGGATGGGGCTGGAAGGGATTGTGCTTAGTGAAATAAGCCAGAAAGAAAAGGAAAAATACTGGATGGTTTCACTCATAGCAGGAGTATAACAGACCAGACAAGAAAATAATAATACTAATAATGAACAACTATATACCAGAGACATTTTGTTGGGGTGGAGTGGGGGATGGGATCAAAAACAGTAGGGGGAGGGAAATGCAGTAGACTATGGTGATCGCACATGTGTGATTTGGTGATGGGACGCCCACGTGGATTACAAGTGAGATGAAAAAAATGCACAAAATGATGTAAAAATAAACTATTATATTATTTTTTTTTAAAAAAAAGAATAGGCTCCATAGCAGAAAGCAGGGGTTCTATGAACCAGGGTATGGAAAAGAAATACATCGTATTTTCACAACTACTCATTGAAAATGAGCATCTCCTCCCATTATTAACACTTACAAAAAAACCCCAGTGGTACTAACAAACCTGTAGCTCTGTTACCAATAGAAATCACAGGTATTCTCCATATCACAGTAAGGGCTGTTATAGCTATCTTACATTACTGTTTATGTTCAATGCTACTAATTATAGTAGCTATCAGATCTTCTGCTGGATTTTATAGCACCACAAAAATACTCACAGCGCTATTATTTCCAATGCATGTGGCTTTCCATCCTCCATAATTTCCGCTAGGATCACTCTGATAGAGCTGAAAGCCATAGTGCTTATCCCAGCCAATGTACAACAATGAAACACCAAAGGGTCGTTTTCCTTTAACAAAGAAAAAAAAGTCACATGTATTAGCAACCTGAATTTAGTATCACTATAGTTACCTGAGCTCACTGAATGTAGCTAAACCTATTTCTGTGAAGTCAGGCATTCATAAACTGCGTTGTATTCTGGCCCCCATAGATAAGCGCCACCAAAAATTCCATTTTTGCCTCTCTAATTTAGACACAGGCAGGAGAGGAACACAGCACAGTGAACTGAATTTCATTATGATGTAAAAAGAAATTTACTTCCAGATTTAGAAATGTTATTCTGGACTTTCAAATGTCTATTTACAAAGCTTATGATGATAATCTACACAGTAGAAGTCCAGTCATGAAGCAGGAATATACAGTGTTTATCTAATTTTCAGTTTCCATTTACTGTATGAAAAACAGTAACTCAAAACATTTTTACTTTCTGGAGTAAAATGTCCCAAAATGTCAATACCTCCAAACTGCGTATAAGCTTGTTTGATATCACACAGTGCTGTAACCAACTGCTCACAGGGAATTGGTTCCTGATACTGTAATAAATACCTAGGATAGAGAGATCAGCGTATTAGTTTTCTCTAAGAAACAGATACATTCTGAACAAACTACCTCTGAAAAGAAATCCTTGCCACAGGGACAACATAATAGTCACTTCCAATTTGACGGTGGGAGAAAAGCATCTCAATATCCTACTCATCTTACCATAAATAATATTTTACAAGTTTGGGTTTAAAAAAAAGCTATTTCAGGCCCTCCCTGGTGGCACAGCGGGTTAAAGCACCGCACTGAGAATCTAAAAGTCACTTCCTCATGAGTTCGATTCCCGCCTGCCCCGGAGGTGACCACATGGCGTGGCAGACCTCTCCTGACCCGCCCGCTGCTCCCCTCAGTAGTATACTTCGTCGATCTGCCTGTTCTGCTCCCCACTCTGTCTTTGGTGAATCCTCTCACCCTCCACATCTCTGGCCTGTACCCCAGTTCTATATGAATAAATAAATAAATCTTTAAAAAAAATAAAATAAATATATAAAAAATAATAATAATAAAAATAAAATAAAAGCTATTTCAATTAATACATTTTAACTTACTTCAATTTTTGTGAAAGTTAAGTTCTTCTTAGAAACATGTAAACCAAACTGGGCTTCCCTAGTGGCATAGGGGTCAAAATCTCAATGCTATCAAGCTAATGCAGCATGAGTTCGACCCCTGACACATGGAGGTGACCCACATGGCGCAGCAGACTTCTGTTTCACCCACTGCTCCCCTCTGCAGTATATCTCAGTAGATCCTTCTATTCTGCTCCCTACTCTGACTCTCGTGAATCCTCTGACCCCCTTACACCTCTGGCCTGGACTCCAGTTTTTGTAAGCACAAATAAATAAAACAAAGTCTTTAAGAAAAATATAAGCCAAGTTTAATAACATCAATTAATTTATTTATGACCTTACCTTTGAGCAATGAGCCTCAGTTCGTTAGTCAGAACATTTGCATCAGAAGTTATTCCTGCCACGCTGCAAGCCATGTCCCTGGAGGCAAGACAGACAGAATTGCAAGTAGGGAAGATGTCCTAAGGGGTCTTTATGAGTCCTAAAAAGTAGCGAGTTCTACAAGAAATTTACCATGCTAGCTTTCACTACACCTTGCAGACAAAAACTTCTGTAAGTTTTATCTTTGTAGGAGACTTTAAACTGGAGAACATCCAACACAAAAGGTAAATTAGTACACCCCGAAGTTTTTCAGTGATATATCTGTCACCAATGCCCTGTGAACAGGACAGCAGGATGGATACTAAGAGGCTAAAGTATCCTGAGAAGATGCAGCAAAAAAGAAGGGATTTCTCAGACAGGAATACAACTCTCCATGCTCTTTGGTAGCCAGTCATCTCGCTCTTTGAAGCCTGGGTTCATGGGGGTGAAGATGAGGGCACTTGAGGGGAGGTGGTTTTCCAAGGCAGCCTCGGAGGCCCAGGGCAGGCTTACACTGATAGTGCATTTCCCTTCTCTGCTCTTACTCCTGAGAGCTGTCCGGGCTCTCCCATAGCCCCCAGCCCCTCTGTCTCCATGCAACTCAAGCCTGCAAGCTGCTGAATGGGACCAACAGTGACTATGAACGACGGCATTTTCTCTGGTGAGTGTGCCAAAAGGCCTTTATAACCAGCAGAGGCGGGAAGGCCTCTAATCAGTTAATTCGCCTCTCTGCTGGATAGACAGCCCTGCATACCAGTGAACAGAAAGCCTACTGAGTATATAGGGCTCGGTTTAACTGTCCCCAAACCTAAGGAGACCTGTTGTCTGGTGATTCATTGTAATTCAACCAAATTCCCAAGAAGTTGTTTTAAGCAATGGTTTTATAGCCTACTGTTAACTTATTTCATGAACTGCCATAACCACACTAGAAGGCTCAGAGAAGTTGATGCAAGGCCACACAGCTCATATAGGTGAAGCCTGTCACACAAGCAAATCTTTGTGACTACCAAGCCTGTACTCTTGTCAATAGAGAAAGGTGCTGCCCCACTAAGTGCATGGGTCTTGCACTTAAAAAGATCATACATGGTTCTGGGCCTGAAGCAAAAATTTTGTCAAGTGAAAACACAATAAACTGTTCATTTCAATTCTATCATGGGAACCTTTTTAATAAGAAAGTAAGATATTTAAATTCTCTCCCCTAAAGAAGATATTACTTACTCATTGAGTTTATAAATTTTTTCAGAGAAAAAGACTTCATCGAGAAGCTTGTGTATGTTGCGTCTCTCTGCTGCAAGCAAAACACCATCGTTTGCTAAAATCCCCAAACAGGTGCCTGCATGTCCAATAGCTTCCATGGCATATTCAACTTGGTACAGACGACCTGCAAAAGACAAGCAGTGTGAACCCGAAGTCTCCTTCACGCTCTCATGCCCTTGGGATAGAGAAACAAGCACAAAATTGGCAGGCTACAAATAAGAATCTCACCCACTTTTACTCTTTTATGATCTACATATAATACAAGTAACCAACTTGGTGATCACAATCACTTGTTTGTAGATTTTCCCCTAAGTCAAATACTTTTTAATTGAGGCAGATTAAGCAGTATTTTTTTACCTTCTGGAGAAAATATAGTAGTCCGGGAGTCATATCTTCGAGACTGTGAAGGAAAAACAGAAAAGTGATTCCTATCCACTGAAGTCAAGTCAACCCCTCCCGCAAGCCCACAAATCATCTTATAAAACATCCTATTATACAAAGGGCAGTGTACGGGGAGAAAATCATTAAGGAAGAAACACCATTCCATCTCTTTCTTCCGCTTCAGTTTTCTCATGCAACAGTCTATCAGCTGAGTACAAGCAACATGATTTATCAGGCTGAACAGTGTGTGGGCATGTGTTTAACTCACCATCTTTTATCTGATCTTTATATACAATTCCTGTAAAAAGAAAACAGGATAATTATTACAATGAAATTTACAAATTAAAAACCATTTATTTCTCCACTTCAGTCTACTGGTCAGGTGAGGGAGGCACACAAAGACAGTCAACTATAAAGCAAAATGTAAACTGAGACACCAGGCAGGAACCAGAGTTGAATGGGAAGAGGGATGAAGCAAGCATTTTGAGAAAATGAAACCAAGTTAGATAGCCCAGAAATAAAGTTGAGAACAGTCAGGTCTAAGAAGAAGAGTAGGGAAAGGAAGGTTCCAGGAAGAGAAAACGTGATCAAAGGAAAATGAGGATGGACTGTTCAATGGGCAAGCTAAAACATAAAAAAAGAAAAAACAACACTTCAGGAAACTAGAGCTAAGCGAACACCCTGATCCTGTAAAACCTTGAATGTCAAGTTAAGAGGGTCAGACTTTCTCCAGTGATTCTAGGTCTTGAGTACTGGTTGGGAGAGGCAGGGGAGCGCGAATCTTTGGCATCATTACGATTCCTGAAAAACACATCACTGGGGCTCATTCAGCGTGATTTGGCGAAAAAGCCAAACTTCACAGGCTCCACAGCCTATTTTCTCAAATACTGAATTACTGGGAATTAAGACTGGAAAGACAGGCAAGGATCAAGTCCCGAAGGGCTCGCGTGTCCAGGAAAAATCTTGGGTCTCTAGCAAAAAAAATAAATCACCCAGTGACTCTGGGCCGATGAGCCCCAGGAACTAAAGGCTCTTTCGAAAGCTTACTCTGGTGAGAGAGGGGGGAGGCAGTTGAAAGGTAAGGCTGGCCCGGGGCCGGGAAGCCCCGGGCTCCCACTCGCGCTCAATCGCAACGTTTTCCACTATCTCCGCGCCGCACGGTCCGACGCGACTGCACCCGACCAGCAGCGCCAAGAGCAGCGGGGCTCTCCCCAGCGGTGGGGCTGCGACTTTCCAGTCCCGCGCGCCGGGCCCGCCGCGC